TGAGGACTGACCCGTTCAGACAGTATGGACCTGATGAGTCCCGGCCACGGAGTGGAATAAGCCAGTAACAAAAAAAAAGACAGCTGCTTCGTGAGTCCACGCCTGAGGCACCTACAACTCCCAAACTCTTTCTGAGAGGCAGGCCACTGCCAGGAGTTTGGGGCATCTGATCCAAAGGGAAGCTCCATTTTGCAAGATGAAACGATTCTAGACATCTGTCCTACAACAGTGGATCTGTGGTTGGCTGCTGCAAAAGGTCATCTCAAAATTGTAAAGATGCCGGTTTTTCTGTTGTGTGTTTTGGACTTTGAAAAGATCGTCCACAAGGAAAGAAATCTCAGCCAAGTCCCTTTGTGAAGTTGCAACAGCCAGGGGATCGGCTCGGGCTCTAGAACCACAGGACAGTCTGGAGTGTCCCTGTTTGTTTTGAGACAGCTCTCTCTGCTTAGCTGAGGCTAGCCTCAACTTTGCCATCCTTCTATCCCCGTTCTGCTGGGGTTTCACGTGTGGCCACCCCACTCAGCGAAGCTGAAGCTTTCCGACTATTGTTCTCGTTGATACAATGCTGTGTACAGTTAGGGCCACAGACTTTAAACAGGGAGAAAGTACGACCAGAAAGGGTGGCCTTTGAGCTGGATATTAAAATACGTAGACTGGGGGAAGGGAGACACCAGGGCCAAAGGGCCAAGTCAGGGAGGGAAGAGGAAAAGGCAGCATGTGTGTGTGTGGGGGGGGGGGGGGGCAGCACAAGGTGTGGCTCTGTAGGAAGGGAGGAGGAGAAGGAGGAGAGGGGGTGAGGGAGAAAGAGAGGAGACAGAGGAGGAGAAAGAGTGAAAGAGAGAAAAAGAGGGGGGAACAGAGAAGAAATGGGGAGGGAGGGAGGGAGGAAGGGAGGGAGGAAGGGAGGGGGAGAGAGAGAGAGAGAGAGAGAGAGAGAGAGAGAGATGAAGGTTTGGATAGTTGTGCGGGGCATTGGAGAGAAGACCTCAGAGGACAGAATTCGGTGCCACCGCCGGAGTCTGACAAAGGCGCTGCTTGGTCGACTGAGGGGGGCGTCGGGACCCAGGGACCCAGGGCAGCCGGGCTGGTCACACGCAACCTTCCCTTGAACCCCGTCAGGAAGTGACCGAGAAATCCCCCATTCCCATAAATTAAGGACGACTACAGTAGCAGCCTGACAGTTTACGGGAAACAGCAGTGGCTTCGCAGCTGTCCCTGCCAGTAGGGATCTTTAACACCCCTGGCCCGGGCTGGGGATGGGTAAGATAAGACTGCACGGCGGCGGGTCTCCCGAGACCTCTTAGGGAGCGGGAGGGGCACCCGGCTCCCTTGATCCTTTTCTACAGAGACTCAGCTTCTGCTTCCAAGGGAGCAAGGTCGGGGAGTAGCGGGTCGGGTGCGCTGGTGATGGAGATGGGCGCAGAGTCCGAGGCTGGAGCCTCCTGGGCCCGCCAATGTGAAACACAGTAACACCCGTCCCTACCCTTCCCTCCACAGCTCAGATTGAAGCACTAATTGGTCACTACTGGAGTTTAGGACAAAAAGATTGCAAGAAGTTCACATATCCCACGGACCCAGGAATTTCTGAGTCACTGTATCTGCCATATTTAATTCTACTGTTCCCACCATTTTTTTTTTTTTTTTTAAAAGACGGGGTCTTATGTATCCCAGGTTGGCCTGGAACTCTAACAAGCAAAGGACTGTCTTGAACTTCTGATTCTCCTGCCTCCACCTCCAGGCATTCACTATGACATCTTATTTATGAAGTATGGACCAAACCTCGGGGGACTTCAGGCATGCTTGGGTACTCTCCCCACTGAGCTCCACCACCAGCCCTCACCCTATGTTCTTAAGCAGTGGTTCTCAACCTCCCTAACGCTGTGACCCTTTAGTACAGTTCCTCATGTTGTGGTGACCCCCAACCATAAAACTATTTTCATTGCTTCTTCATAACTGAAACTTTGCATCTGTTGTGAATTGTAATGTAAATATCTTTGTTTTCCGATGGTCTTAGGTGACCCCTGCAAAAACGGTTCTTCAACACCCAAAGGAGTCAAGACCCACAGGTTGAGAACCACTGTTCTAAAGGCTTAGGTCAGGAAATATGGACTCGAAACCAGCCACAGCTGCTATGGAACTTTCGTTATGCACCAGAAGCAATGTGAAATTTTCAGATCACTGTACTCAACCCACCCAGCTGCTCTAGGTGGTAAGTGACATCATTACATTCCCATTTCTCAGCTCCGGAAGTAGAGGCTGCAAGAAGGTAACAGCGTTCCTGAAGTTACAATGACCCTGTCCTTCCATCTACCTGACCATGAAGCACAGTGGGCAAGGCTAGTCATCTTTCCTGGGCTGACTCATGGGGACTGGGATGAGGCACCCTGAATCCCAGCAATCAAGATAAATAATGTTTGAGTACATCGGGAAGTAGAGACAGAGAATCAAGAGGTTCAAGGCTAGCCTTGGCTATATAGTGAGTTTGAGGCCAATCTGGCTTATTTGAGACCCTGTCTCAAATAAACAAAATAAAACACAAACAATCAAAATTAAATATCTTGGGATGTAGCTCAGCGGTAGAACCCTTGCCAGACATGTACCAGGCTCTAGGTTGGGTTCCCAGGCCCCTCATGGTAATCTGTGATGAACAATAACAAAAACATTAATTAGAGGATCCGGGCCTGACTTCAGACCCCAGGGTAGCTCAGGGGCTTTTCTGTGGATTTGTCTCTTTTGAGATTTCCAGATTCTGCAGTCAGTTGTGAGCCTTGCCTGTGACGTCCCCTCTGGTGAGGCCCTTGGGAAGCTGACCCTCCTGCCTCCCCCTTCCTCTGCAGTTAAATTCCAACACAGGCACCTGGGCAATAAAGATCTCCCTGCTGACCAGCCACATGGGATGGAAGGAAAGCCAGCTCACCGTCCTGTTCCTGTGGTCTGTTTCCACTGCTGATCTGGGAGAGCCCCAAGTGGGGGCCCCCAGGGCCCCCATGAGCGGGGGGGTCTTTCTGGGTCAGGGGCTGACTTTCTGATGAGCCACGTGGATGCTCCCTGTCTAAAGCATTGCTATTGGCTACTTGCCAAAAGAGAAGATGGTTGGTCCATTGGGTTTTGCTGAGACTTTGCCGGAGTCCAGAAATCTCCCAGCTCCTTTCCCCACACCCTTGGCCCTCAGTCTACTGGAAAGTGGCTAGATGCTTCAAGATGTCAATGGAACTGAAGGAGCAAGAGTGGCAGGTACTGCCAAGGAGAGAGCTGTAGTCCTAGGTGGGAGGGGCCGGCACCTGCTCTATCCATCCCAATACTCACTCAGTTGAGTTAGTCAGAATGGCTGATCCCCCCTGCCAGGTTTAACCACTGGGGCTCTAAAGGGCCCCTCCCCTTAGCCATGAGGATGCACTGTGGTCATCGCCACCCACTGTCAGTACATCCAGAAGGAGCTTCAAGCCTTGGGATCAAATACCATATGAAGACTGGGCGGGGACTCTCCTGAAGGTGTGGAGTTTGGAGTTTAGAATCCAGGGGCTCATTTTACTTCTTAGAGGACCGAATCTGATTTGTCTGATTTCCCAGATAAGAGACTTTCATCCCCCAAATAGAAAAGTCCAGGCTAACCTGGGTTTCAAGATCTTCCTGCCTCAGTCTCCTGAGTCCTGGGATTGCGGTTTTGTTCCACCAGGCCCTGTTCTTGTAGTGTTCTCTCAAACTCGGTCTCTCCTTTTTCACAGTGCGGAATGGGGATACCAACAAAACCTGCAGTCCCTATTCTCATTGTGGGACTCAAAAAAACTGCTGTCTGCAGCTCCTACCACTTGTAACTTCCTTCCTTCATCCCCCCCCCGCCCCGCCCCCACGCCCCTCAGAGCACAGCCTTCAGGTCTCCCTTTCCCCTCAGCCTGAGCTCTCCAGAGACAAGACCTCTTTTCTAGAATCTAGTGCTCAGGCAAGAGGTGGATACTCCTGATATGTACACTAGGTCAAAGGGGGCTTACGAAGAGAAACCCAGCAAGTTCTCCTTTGTCAATTAGTGCCCCCCCCCCCCCCAATTAGGCCCAGAGAGGCCCTTTATATGTTCAGATCAGTGAGTATTCGCTATCGGGAGTGTAAGGGTGATGGGTCAGTGCATTCTGGGCAAGGTGGGAGAGGAGGCAGGGGTCCAGACAAAAGGTGACTAGTGGGTAAGAGGACCTTATGGGAAGATGAGGAGAAGCTAGGCATGCTTTACCTCCAACCTCTGGGAGCTTCAGATCTTTATCATACGCCCTGCCATAGCTGGCCTTGGCCCTTGCCTCCACCCACCTGCCTCTCTGACTTTTCCAAGGCTGCTGTGGTCCGAAAAGAGAAGCCTTTGCAGCACAGACCTCTCCGAGGCCCCACCAGACCTTGTCAAGGTGAGCTGTCCGCTAAGTATAGGCACCACCTCTGTGTGGTGATACCTCTGGGCAGTTTGCCCCAAACCCCACTCTCCCTCTCGTCCTCATCTCTCCCATCCCCACCACAGCCCTGCTCCTCTGCCTCTGGGCTCCTGATAGAGGGTCCTGGGTCTGGGTGGACACCCAGAGACCCAGCCTCACTCTTAACTCCCAAGCCTCAATCCTGGCTGAATGACAAGCTTCAGCTGTGGCTCTGGGACCATTCGGAGGCCGCCTGAGTGTGGTCTCCGTGTGCAGAGGCAGAGGCAGCCCAGCTCAGCAAAAGTTCTCTGCAGACCTTACCAGTGTGAACCCCAAGACTCCATCCCGTGTATCCTCCAAACCCTCCTTGACCCATTAGTCATTTTCTCACACACACTCTTTGCAGAGACCCAGAAATACTGGAGGAAAAAATATCATCCCCACCACCAGAGAGTTCTAGAACTCCTGCAGTATAAGCCGCCTTGTACATTTGAGCAAGTTAGACCATGCCTTTTGAAGTTTACAGTAAGGGTCCCTAGGCTCTGAGAAGAGAAACAGCTTGCTCAGGGAGACGCAGTAAAGGAAAGGTGAGTCCTCCCCACCACCTACCTGACCGCTCTTTTTTCCTTCTGGATGATTTCTTCTCCGACTCACTGGCAGTGCTCCCAAGTACCATGTAGTCCTCACCCGATCCTCCGGTGCCATCCACCAGGCCTGGGCTGCCGGCCCCCATCTCTCTGGCGCTCCCAGCGGGGCCTGGGTTGAGCCTTTGCCCAGCTTCAGAGATGGGGAAGTGCCAGTCAGGGGTCTGTGGGAAGGCAGGATGTTGCTCATTGAAGATGCGCTCGGCCCGGGGCAGGCTGTGAGGAGCGGCTGCCAGGCAGGAAGCAGAGAAGTCGGGGTATGCTGCTGTTGCTGGGAAATCTGGTTTTTGGTGGAAGGAAAACGGGGTTGGTGGATAATGGGACAGCCCTGAAGCGCTGCTGCCTTCCGAGTGAGGGTTTCGAAGGCAGCCCCAGACGGGGGCCGGGGGGTGGGGGTTCCTCACGCAGCTGTGGGCTACTGGATCCATCTGCTGTCTGCTGCCTGCCTCAGTCCGTTCAAAGGTTTGCACTGCACTTTCTCTGTTCAGAGTTTTGTAATTAAAAAAAAAAATTAAACAGTAGAGGAAAATATTGAATGGAAAATTTACCCCTGGAACCCAAACAAAAATTTTGCCTCCAAGTCCACAAACACGTGGCCAGTAACACACATGTGCATGCCCACACCTGTCTAGGCTTCGCGGCTGCCTTCCTGCCCCCTGACACACGCTGACTACTGGGGTCCCTTGTGCACGCATTTGTTGCCTAGGGCACTAAACATTTTGACTGTCCTGCCTCTGACCCACCCACACTGACAAGCTCTCTTCGCGGGGACCCTGAGTGAATGCCTGCAGAGGGCTGGACCCGGTTGCCCAGACACACTTTTAAATCCTGCGGTGGGGAGAGAGTGACAAATTTCTGAGGTGAAATGTGAGAGAGGAGAGGGAGGGGTCAACCCACTCACACAAGGTCCCCTCCAACCAAAACCCGAGCAGGCAACATTATCATCAGAAACCTTATACCCACGTCTAATGGCATTTGCAGACGTAGACTTTTAAAGAAACATTGTTTTATTTTTTTTTTAAGGAGAGAGAGCGTGCGTGTGTGCATAGTACACACACACACACACACACACACACACACACACACACACACACACACACACACATCCATGCTCTTTTGAGTGCCTCCCGTAACACAATAAAGTTATTTTTATTGCCTTGTTAACAAAATTCCCCAAGTCTTGGTTTAGAAAAAGCCTTCAGTGGAATCCAGAATCCACCAAATGCCAAATTCTGGGGAGGGAAGGGGGAACTGGGTGCAAAGGACAAGCTTGGTGAGGGCGTTGGTTTAAAGCGTTTCTACCTCTCCCTGGGGGAGCAGAAAAGGGAGGAGAATTATAAATTATAAGTAATTTTTCCTCTCTCTCTCTCTCTCTCTCTCTCTCTCTCTCTCTCTTTCCCCGGTGAGTCTTGGCACCCCAGTGGTGTGGTCTGGGGCGTAAAGAAAGATATACTCTAGAATAACAACAAAAAAAGAAAAGAAAAGAAGAGAGATAGAGAGAGAGAGAGAGAGAGAGAGAGAGAGAGAGAGAGAGAGAGAGAGAGAACAAATTACTGTCTGTCTGTCCAAAGTGCCTTTCTCACCTTCTCAGTAAGGAGAAGAGAGAAAAGCAAAGCCCCCATCTCTTGGCAGCCACCTCTAAACTCCAACCTCCGTGCCAGTTCGCCACACTCTTCTCCAGCGACCCTGACTTGTCTCCACGGCCAAGGCTCTTAAGTCCTTGAAGTTTCTAGGGGTTATTCCCACCTGTTGCCTGTCCCCCGCCCTTAGCCTCTCCCACCTGCTTCCCTTTCTCAGGCCCTGCTGGCATCTTTGGAACCTGGGGACCTCCATCCCCTGAGAGTTCCCCCTAAAGGGAGTTCCCAGGGTCTTCCTGGCCCACACGCGTGTGCATGTGCGTGTGCGTGTGCGTGTGCGTGCGTGCGTGCGTGTGTGTGTGTGTGTGTGTGTGTGTGTGTGTGGTATGTGAGAGGGTGACCAGCCCAGGAGCCATCTCACCCTGCTTGCCAGTCTAGAGCAGCGGTTCTCAACCTTCCTAACACTGCCACCCTTCCACACAGTTCCTCGTGTTGTGGTGATCCCCAACCATAAAATTATTTTTGTTGCTACTTCAGAACTGTAACTTTGCTACTGTTACGAATCATAATGTAAATACCTGTGACCCCTGTGAAAGAGTCTTTTGACCCCCAAAGGGATCGAGACCCATAGTTTGAGAACCACTGGTCTACACTATGGGGATACCTGGCTAGCTTCTCAGTCTCTGGAGATTTGACCTTGTTTTGTAGAGATTTCCACCAGCTCAGAGCAGCGGGCCTCTGCAAGGCAGAAACCCCCATGTGCTGTGAACCCTGTGCTGGCTGGTCTTAGACACCAGGACTCCAGGAGAGGAGCAGCAGGTACCAGTTAAGTCTCTGAGACAGCACTCTTCACCTCTCTGGGCCTCACCAGCTGATTTAGTCCCAAACCCACAGTGAGGTGCCCACCCCCCACCCCCCATCACTCCCCATCTGCAGCAGCGCCCTCAGCAGCAAGCACTGTTCTAACCATCAGGGAATGAGGAACGTGTACCAGGCCACATTATAGGGAAGGGCTTCAGGACCCAGGCAGCCTACACCGGCAGTACCCGCCTACCTGCCTGGGAATTTTACTTTTCTAAATTAACATATTTGTAAGCGAGGGTTGTGTGTGTGTATCTTTTTTTTTTTTGTAGATGAATTTCTAAATGGTCTTATTAAATAAATAAAAAAAATAACCACGGAGCCAAATATAGGGGTGAAAGCCTTAGATCAGGGAAATAGGAATAGCCGCCAGCCAACCTCACCTCACCAGCTCTGCAGCTTCCAAATGCTGTGTGTGTATCTTTGCATGTGCATGTAGAGGCCAGGTGTCTTTTTTGATTGCTCTACACCTTTTGTATTTATTTATTTATTTATTTCTAAGAATAAATTTCCTAGAAATTTATTCATTTCTAAGACAGGGTCTCACTCTGTAACTCTGGCTGTCCTCGAACTCACTCAGTAGACCAGGCTGGCCTTGAACTCACAGAGATCCGTCTGCCTCTGCCAATTCCTTGTGATTGACCTGTCTCTGGCCCCAACACCAAGGCTAGGTTTCAAGGCAGCACTGCCACCACTGGGCCCAGCTTTTCCACGAGTGCTGGAGACTCAAACTTGAGTCCTCTTACACGTGAAGCACCTGTTTTATCCACCGAGCCTGTATTTTGTTTTTAAGGGTTTCATTATGTAGCTCAGACTAACCTGGAATTCACTTGGTAGCCCAGGCTGGCCTCAAATTCACAGTCCACCTGTCTCAGGATTCTAAGTACTGAGATTAGAGTTGTGTGCCCCCAGCCTGGGTCAAATGAAATTTTGAATGAAACTTTTTGTGAAAGGCAGCGTGGGCAAGAGATGATGGCCCAGGCTCCTATGTCTGCTTGCTAATCTGGTGATTCTAAAGGGAGGCATGGGCAGGAGAGCGCAGAGAGATTTCCACAGGAACACCCTCGAGAGGCCCTGTATCATGGAAGGAGCCCACAGGAGGGGCGGGCCAGAAGGAAGATGGGGCTGTCAGCTCCTTAGGAAGCCCCGGGGGCCTGACCTGGCAGCCTGTAACCAGATCCCTGTTGGGCTGTCCTTCTCACATCTGGCTCAGGGTCCCCATCCCAGGGAGGCCCCCTTGGCCCTTTGCCCTGGGAAGGGGTGGGCACTGGGTCATGGTGGGGTGGGTGGAGAGGTCAGGAAGGGCATGGGGCGGGCACACAGCAGGATGCTCTGTGCTGGGAACATAGGCCCTGGCACCCCGGTGCCCCAGCAGCTGCCGGTGTCTGTCAGCCCCCCTGGGGGAACCACAAGGCCACCACCTCTACATCTTCCTGACAGGCCCCTCTTCGGAGGCCAGGAAAAAATAACAGCCCCCTCCTGCAGTCACCCATTTGTCAGATGAAGGCTGGGCACTGCGTCTTTAACCTCCTCAAAGTCAGCAGTTCCCTGTCAAGGCCCTGTGGGGGCAGGAGACAAAGATGGATGGAGGTGACTGTTTGCAGGGAAGGCTGCAGCCGAGGGGAGTGCTCCAGAAGGGAGGGCCCCTGGCTTCTGGTGTTGCTGGAGGTAACAGAGAGGGAGAGGAAAGGCGAAAGGGGCGGGGGAGGTCCCAGGGACCCTGGAGGTCTTCCAGCTGGGCCACACCTGAGCCATCCCTCAGAATACTAGGAATTTCCTTCATTGCTCATTACCTACTTATGTTCCTGGACCAGACAGGCCTGCTTCTGAGCTGGCCACCTCAGCTACCTGTGTCTGGTGATGCTCAAGATAGGCAGGAGGTCCCCATTCAAGAAATCTATCCTTGCCATCCCAGGGCTTTGTGGTCAGAAGAGAAACAGAGTTTTTCTCAGTGATGAAATGACATTGACAGGACCGGCCTTGTAGGCCTGTATGAGTATAAGTGAGCTGATACCTGAGCCAAGAGTAGGCTGGCAGAGAAGGCCAAGGCATAAGGAAAGCATAGACCTTCCCTTTCTTTACCTATGTGGAACCCCCATCTGATCGAAAGATGCCCACCTTAGCCCCAAATTATTATTATCTTCCCCTCTGTGTGTGTTTGTATATGTGTATGTTGGTTTGTGTGTGTGTGCGTGTGTGTGTAAGTGTGTGTGCATGTGAAAGTCAACCTCTCATGTCGGTTTTTGAACTAGGTCTCACTGACCTGGAGCTCACTACTTCAGCTGAGGTGACTGATCAACAAGCCCCAGGGATGGGTTTGTCTCTACCTTCCCCGTGGCTGGAATTGGAACACACACCACCACACTCAGCTTTTTACGTGGGTTCTGGAGCCAAACTTACAAGCACTGTGCCCACTGAGTTATCTCCCCAGCCCACAAATTCCTTCTTCTATAACACATGTAACAGAAGCATGGTTTTGGGAATCAGGAGGGTGTGGGTTCAAATCCCAGCTCTGCCGTTAATAAGTTGAATGGCGTGGAGCAACTTATTTGATCACATGGGCCTCATTTTTCCTTTCTGTAAAATGGAAATAAATTTCTTCCTCATTGAGTTGCAAAGTGAGGTCACTATGAAAACTCCTGTGGCAGCCCTATACATGATTATGGCATCTCACCTTACTCACTGTTCTATTGCTGTGAAGAGACACAATGACCAAGGGGCAACTCTTATTAAAGAAAACATTTAATTGGGGACTTCCTTACAGTTTCAGAGGTTTAGTCTATTATCATCACGGCAGGAAGCATGGTGCTGGAGAAGTAGCTGAGAGCTACATCCTGATCTGATGACTGAGAGAGAGAGAGAGATATTCTGGGCTTCGCATGGGTTTTTGAAACTTCAAAGCCCACCCCCAGTGACGCACTTCCTCCAACAAGGCCACACCTCCTAATCCTTTTAATCCTTTCAAATAGTGCCCCTCCCTGGTGACTAAG